AATGTCGGAGGATGAGAAGTTGTTAAAGGAGGTGAAGAATGTAACGCCTCGAAATAATTGCTATAACCCATACTCAACATCAATAACTGATCATAATATTTCATTGATTTACAATTAAGCTTTACAAAAGAATGATATAATATAGAGACAAAAGGAAAGTTAGACAGTTAAGAAATGCCCTAAAGGCTTACATCTTTCCAAGACAACGCTTGGGTACAACAAAAATGGACTTAAGTCCAATACAGTTAAAGCCCTTGGCTTGTACAAAAATAAATACAGTAAATACACAAAAGAAGCTTTCACTCCAAGTCCTTCCAAGCTATTGCCTTAGCGAAGGCATATCATCAACACCTGAAAATAGTCTTCCCAAACAGGGTGAGCCAAAGCCCAATAGGAACAATCTAACACCATATATGAGATTTAACAAAGATATAAGTACAATGTACATATACAATGCCTATGATAAAACATTCACATTTTTATATAATCATAAAGTACCAAGTTCATACCTTAATCCATTTTCCTTCAATTCATTTCAATTCATGAGCCAATTTCATTATCTTTCAAAAACCCAACTAAGATTACAACTTAGTGGTTTTTCAATTAACACAATTACTACACAATCACTTCAATCTGTCATTTTACAAAAATTTCGTCTGCGGGATCGGCACCCATGTATACGCGCGATTTTGGGACTTTCACCCAGGACACTCCGGCCAACTTAATTTCAATGGAGTCCATCCCCTCCCAAACATGAAGTATATCTCATTTCTTCTTCCAAATAATCATACATATACTATGTATTTAAAACATAGTCATATTCAATGACAATCAATAAGAGATTAGTTTCAATTTACCTAATCCTCATGCAATTTCTACAACAATTATAGCTATCCTCCACCGATAGCCCAATAGAGTTATTTCTAAACAAATATTCAAATCTCAGGACAAATAATTTATTCAAAATTTCCAAAGGTGTCAGGTAATACACATCCAACTCCACCATTTATTTCAATATTCATGCAATTTCATATTTAAAACACCAATTTCATTTATTTATACAAAATAAATTCTTGAATCATTTTAGGACAAACTTCTCTTTTTTCCAAATACCAATCCAAATGCCAAAATTAACAATTATAACACAATATAACCTCATTTTCAAATCCCATGACTATTTATATTACCTTCAATAAAAACTCCTCTTTTGATTTTACATCCCAAACCCTAAGTTTGTCCCAAATACTCCTAAAACCCATCATTGTTACATAACAATCAATAACTAAGGGCTAGTTTGGCATGTATTAAATAAGTCAAAAAGTCAAAAAGTCACTATCTTATTTAAGTCACATCATCTTATTTAAATCACATCACCTCTCTAACACATCACATCAAACCCAACCCAAACCCAACAATAAGTCAAAAAGTGCACTTTTTTAGGACATCCCAAACCAACCCTAAATATCATCCCCTTGATATTTTCCACATCAAATCCATTGCAAGTATTTCTTAGATAATTTCACAATCACATGGACAATATTCTTATATAGCTATATATTACTATATTACATGACGTGATTCATAAGCAAATAAGTTCCAAACGATTACAAACGAGACACTAATGGTCTCACAAAATCACCCTTAGGTGAATTTCAAATAATCACAAATAAACAAAGAGGAAAGACCTCACCAAATAGATGAACCAAAATCTTCAGAACCAATATTGTAGAAGATCCAAAATAACGAACCAAATCAACCCACCAAATAATGATCAAACAAATTGATGCTCCACAAAACAAAGTCCACCGAATTGCTTGGTCAACTCAAGCACTACACTACAAAAATTTACACATTTGCCGACCACTTTTGCTGACCAAAAAAATTTTTGTCGCAAAAAAATGACATTTGCCGACCCAAAGTAAATTTCATTGCTAAAAATTGATACTGTTACTGACTAAAATTTTTGGTCGCAAATAAGTAATTTTTGCTGACCAAATTACACTAATTGTCACCAAAAATATGGGCAGGAGAATGAAATTAAAAAGGGGGCTGCGTATGCTATTTTTAGCGACTAATATAATTTGGTCGCTGATACCAAAACGATGTTGTTTTGGTATCCAAATGCATTAGCCGACCATCAGTTTGGTAGGGGATGACTTTACTAATTCAAAAAAATATGAAAAATTCCTACGCGCCTCTTTCACACCTCAGTCCAATTCGATCAAAGCTCAGTCGCGCCACCTCACCTTACCTTCGTCTTCTCCACTCTCGTCATCGGTTTCAAAACCCTAACCCTACCTTTGATCTTCTCCAATCCCTCCATAAGCCGTATGTTCAAATCCAGACCCTACACTCCCCTCAACTGTTTCAAAACCTTTGTCTACAAAGGACTACCGCCAGACTCATCAAAACGACGATCTGGAACGGGCTGATTGTGATGAGAATGATCAGGCGGCGAGGCACATTAATGCATCGGAAATGAAATCGAAGATGGATAGTTCATTTTTGCCCTAATTTTTCTCTCCATTTCTGTTTAATCGACCCCTCGATCTTCTCTGATCAAAACTCTGCACCAGATTTGCTGATTCAGTCCAGCTCCAGGTTCAGCCTTGAGGTACACACCACTCTCCTCTCATTCTCTACCTCTGTTTTTCACTTTCTTTCTTTTCTTCACTTTTCTCTCAATGAATTCAAGATTCAGATTTCTTTTTTTGTTTATATTTTCCTTTTTTTCCCCTCAGAAACCAAAAGATTGGATCAATATACACATCTCTTACCTCAAATCTAGGTTTAATTTTTTCCTTCTTGTTGATTTCAATTTCTGCTGAAGATTTTTTGTTCCTATAATTTTCATTAGTTAACTGTTTGACCGAGAATGGCAGTGTTGACTTAGAACGGTTGATGATTGGTTCTACCTAGTTTATTAATTTGGTTGTTTTGGAAAAATAGAGAAAAATTGCCTCTATGGAATCTGATTCATCCACACTTTCTCAGGTATGCCTTTTTATTTATTTATTTATATAATTTTTTAATTCAAATGCTCATATTCAAGTGTTCTACAAAAAATTGATGGATTATACTTCTGTGTGTACTTCTCCAAATGGAGCAGAACTTGAATAAATTTAAGTTGTATAAATGCCAATTCATGTGGAAGTATTGGTCACTATTTCTGATTTTAGAGAATGTTTTAAGGATTGGGTTTAATAACTGAGATAGATATTACTATTATTTTTTAATATCTATATGATTATATCTATTTATTTGATCACTGGAAGGTTTGCAATTTTCTGAGGAGTCATATAAGCTGCAACTGTTCTGCAGATTTTTCCATTTCGGTTTCATGATCTTCACATTGATTGATTGCTATAATTAGGTTGAGACTGTCTTCCATGAGTTTGGCCATGCATTGCAGAACATGCTAACCAAACAAGATGAAGGTCTTGTTTCTGGTTCTCAAGGGATAGAGAATGATGCGCTGTTGAATTAGCTTATTAGTTCATGGAAAATTGGTGCTGCCAAAGGTAATATTTTATAACCATAAATATCTCAATTCTATATGTTGTGCCTACTTTTCTCCTCAGATTCTACATTTTTATTCATGGCTCAAGCAATTTGAAATTGTTATGTAGCCATATATTATAAGTTATTCTTGTGTTGGTGAAATATGACTGCCTTTTGGGGGTTTCTCACTGCATTGCCTTTGAATCCTTAGTCTGAATGTGAATTACTGCATACTTATTAAATATTTATGCAAGCACCAACATTTTGTTTATGTCGTTTTCAAAAGAAATGATTCCATAACCTGGTGTTCTGCTTCTAATGACTAAGGGATAATTTTCTTTGTAAAATGATTTTAGCATCTCTTCTTTTACTTTTCTCGTTTCATATTTGTAAAATAGTTCATCCCTAAGGAGGTTTAATTAATGACATATCAGTTAACCACTAATTGTTAGTTCCTGGATTCTTCATGCGTGGGTGTGCCATTCCCACTTAAAAAACCATATTTTTATTTTAGTATGTGAATATAACAAAAGTTTACATATCTAAATGCATAGATAGTCCAAACTTCAATTTTTCATAGACATGATGCTTCAGTGTTCTTGAACCTGAGCCTGTTCTTGCTTCAGATATTGAGAATTGAAGTTAATATTTGGGTGCAATTGGAGGCTGTTCACAACAGGATGACATATATGTGCATATTATCAAAAATGCTTTAAAATAGATTAGCAGAATGAGATGGAATTCTCCAAATACTATTGTTGATGAGATATGTAATGAATAGAAAATTTGACGTTGATTGCTATATCTGAAACAATAGAGGTGTTTGAACCTCTTGGAACAATCTCTCTCAACTCTTACTGTTTCTACTGTGATTTCAGCTATTATAGCCATCTGTGTTGTGTTGATCCAGAATTGTTGATTCAATTGCCTGTACACAGAGGTATGGTAGGTAGTTTTATGAATTAGGAATAGTGATGATTAAGGAAAGCTTGTAAAATCTAGGGCTATATGGAAGGGCAATTGTTTGAATTGGCTTGGTTTTGAAAGTGTTTGGTTGCTTGAAATTATTGCTGGAATTTCTAGATCGCTAATAAGAGGTTTTCAAAACTGTTTTTATATGAATTTTCCAAAAGCAATGTATTGTTAGAACCTTAGGGAAAAACAGTGTGAAATAAACTGTTGCAAGTGGTCTATAAAATGAGCTTGTTTAAGAAGGTTGTATGGTGCTCTCTAACTTCTCAAAGATGTCAGTCTCTCTGTCCATTCTTATTTTTTGACACATCATTTGAGTGTCTAACTTTTACTTTGTGTATGCATATCAAAATCACATTGTTTTTGTGCGAGAATGAAATATACCTTTTGGTTGTATGTTTACTAAGGATAATCATTTTTTTTTTTACTGAACTGTACTTTTAGATCTCTTTGATATTTTCTTCTCCTTCATTTTCTGTAATTGTTCATTGTATTCATGCAGCGTATCAAGATTGAAGGGATTAAAAATGACCCATGGTTCTGACAGAACTATGTGGCTGTTAAACAAGGAGAAAATGAAGATGTGAATTTGGATGATGTTCATGCAGTCTAACAAATTGTCATAATTGATCTTCTCACTGCATTTTTACCAGTAATCACGAAATGACATGACGTGTAGTACCAAGTTCTTGAGCTCATGTTCTGAAAGAAGTGATTTACCTTACTGTGTATTGTGTTATTCTTTTAGGTCTACAGTTCCTGGAAAGAAACCAACTACTCAACACAGTGGTGCTATGAGAATTACATCCAGGTGTGTTTTGGTATCTCAGTATACATGTTCTGCTTATACTCTTTTATTTATTTATTTATCATTATCATATAAACATGCTTATGTTTGTTCAGAGCTATCTAGGAACTGCTCTTGTAATGTAGGTTTGTACCAAACTACAAGCCTATCCTTCCTTGCGCCTGCATTATCAAGGCCAATGCTTGCTAATGATCTTTTCGGATTTATCTATTTGAATTTTCTGATTGATATTTGATAATTATGGTAAAAGTGAAATCATGGTTTCTATTGGCTGATTTAACCGGAATCTATGTCGCATTGTAAGAGATGATGACAATTTGATGTTGCCCCTTCAATGAATTCTGTCTATAAATTTTAATTACCGACTTAAGTGAAGATATTTCATACTTGTTTAATTCTTAAGAACAAAGAACTAACAGTGACAGCATATCGACTTGCATGTTCTTATCTCTTCTTAAATCTTCCTTGATTTTGGTTTTTGTAGATATGTGTGCTAGATACTTACATATGTTTGTGGGCTTCACTTCTCAGGTTCGGAGTATGAAGCGTGCAAAAGACATACGAGATCAATTGGAGGGGCTATTGGAGACGGTTGAAATTGAACTGACATCAAACTCCAATGACCTACAAGGAATAAAGAAGGCTATAACAGCAGGTGAAGATATAACAAATCTTTGCTTCTGATGACTAGAAGTTGGACTACATAGTCATCGTGAATCGTTGTCATCTCCATCATGTTAAGTTTCATTCATTCATTTTCTTTTTCTATATTAATCTTCAGGCTATTTCCCTCATTCTGCGAGGCTACAGAAGAGTGGATTTTATAAGGCAGTTAAGCATCTCCAGACTGTTCATATTCACCCCACCTCTGGTTTAGCACAGGTAAGACATGTATTTGTCATTAATTGGTGTTATCGATAATGATGAGAGGTTCTGACCCCAAATCTATTGCATTGTATATGTGGTAAATGCAATGGCTTGTATATATTACTTATTTGGATTACTATTTTTATAAATTTTCCAACCTTGAGCAATTGGGATAGATTCTGCTAAGTGATGACAGAACTTAAAAACTTTCCAGTTTATGTTGATCTTCATAGACACTAGTTGCATAGTTTTCTTCCAAACTTAGATTAGATAAAAGTCATAAGGTTGACCTACTTAAAGGAAGGTACCCGTGATGTCACCTAGAGGCCTGATTATTTTATTTCACTCCATAAGAACATTACGTCTAGAATTTTTCACACTAATTCTTATTGTGAGGATAAAAGTACTTATTTTTCATCTGTGAAGTCATCAAACAAGAATCAGGATATATTCAAATTTCTTTTCTGCATTCAGATTGGTTTCAATAAGTTTTGTGTTTGCCTTGGAATATTTGATTCCATGCCAGTTGTTTCCCCTATGTGGATATAAATCTCAAACCTCATTTTTGTGCTTTTTTCCCTCCTTAGATGAAATGGACACGGTTCTAACACACACACACACACAAAATGTTTGTGTTTCCTTTTGCCTATTTGGTGTGACCATATGGCAAGAGGGACTTGTTCCTAGTCTTTTATCATGGTATGGCATTCATTAAATTGTTAATTGAATTAGTAAAATTTGCTGATGTATGCCAAATTGACATTTTTTTTTTTGATAGACTTCTAGATTTGATGTTTAAAGTGGTTGCTTGAGTCTTCTTTCAAAATGCTGATTTGGTAGACGATTTAGGCATATTAATATCGTATCTCCCATCGTGGACAATTTGGTTTCTGGGACCTCTCAAGCACGAAAAGCTTCTTCAATCCTATTATAACTATTCTCTTATAGGAAAAATAATGTACTTATAATCTACAAATAGATAAAGCAAAGCTTATGTATATGCACAATGCGAATTTTATTGTCCAAGATGTCATGTATGCATGTATGTACGCACTCTTTCATCCATAGAGGGAGCCATGCATGCATGTGGTATTGAATATTGGAAAGTATGACCGATGAAATGGAAGAGTCATGATTTTGCATGAAACTTATAGTTTCTTTCTTTCCCTTGGTAGGTGCTCCCAAGATGGGTTGTTTACCATGAATTGGTTCTGACAACCAATGAGTACATGCGGCAGGTAAACATCAATTTTGTTTTTGTACCCCTTTCTCAAATTTCGCAGATAGTATAAAGTTCCGTTACGCAATGGTTCTGCAGGAGTTATACTTTGTCCATTAGAGACTAATTTGAGAAGTTGAGTTACAGGTTACTGAATTAAAACCTGAATGGTTGGTGGAAATAGCTCCTCACTATTATCAGTTGAAGGATGTGGAGGATTGTACGCTTTCTCTCTCTCTCTCTCCCCCCAAAATGACATCTTCTGTTGCTTCAGTTGTGTGAAAACCATTCTTTTTCAAATTAACTCAGTTTGAATTTAACTTTACTTTGAAGTTTGTGGTTTTAAGAAAAGCTGGGATATCTTCCTTGAATATTGCAAAAGATTTAATTTTTTGAAACTGTATTGATGTTCAAAGCTCTATATGTTCTTAAATGAAGTCGTTAAATGTTTTTTTGAAAAAAAGTTCTGTCACAAAGTTTCACAGAAATTTTATTATTTGCGAGATGTGATTTGCAGCTTTTAAGTTTGAATTTTAAATGGTAGCAACTGTGCATGAGAAGAGGGAAAGAAAAAGAACATGCAGTATGGTTATAAAATTTCTTAACAAAACAAAAGGGTAGATGCACCCTATTGTAAGTTGGGTAGTAGAAAGGTCTTGACATTTTTGTGTTCTGAACCTGCTCTGATTTGCTATTGGACTAGATCACCAATTTCTCCAATATCCTCCTATGTGCTTAGATTCAGAAGATGCAGAAAGTAAAACTTGTCGAACAACCCTTTATACAGTCATATTCGATTCATGCACAGGCTTTATTAAAAACATCATGCATGCGTAAGATAAAAGTTCTTTAATTGGATAGTACTCTCAAAGCAGTCATGGTATTAGTTTGAGTTGTTGATAGATTTACCTGTTTGCATATTCAATGGACAATCTTATCTATGTCAAGATCACGTAGTTTCTTTGTAGGATGATTTTATTCAACACGTGGGATTTGATTTATTTTTATTTTTTATTTATTTTACTTTTTTGTTGTTGTGTTGAATGATTTTAAAGAACATTTCTAATATGCCTTGGGAGTTGAGGAGTGTGCTTATGGGTGCCTATGTTTGCTAATATGCCAAAAATTAACCAACGGGCTAATTCGATTGATAGAGAAGTTGACGTTATCTGTAAGACTATTAATTGCGAAGATCTGGTGCTACTAATCGTTGCTGTCAACCTACCTCACAAAAAATCAATGTAAAACAGATGGAGCATAACCTACCCCACAAAAAATGCCACCTTAGTTGGAGCCTTAGACCCAAACTCCTTCCCAAGAAAAAAAGAAAGATCAATGTTGGCTGCTCAAGACTTTATAATAAGTTGTTACTTTAATGCATCGCATCCTCTTCCCCTTCAATGTGGAGAATGGCATAAAGGCAGCCAAGAAGATCCACCAACTCCCCACAAAAAGTAATATCCTAGAAAATTTGACTTATCTTTTTTGAGCACTGAGGTAGTCACTAATATCAGTTGTCCAGCTTATTATATTATGGGGCACTGTCCAAACAATAAACTTTTTTTTTTTAAAGAACTAGACATGTCAAAACAAAATGACCTGGGTGAGAGGCTTCAGTCATATCAGCCAAAAAATTATTACTAGATTTCATTGGCATTTCTCGCATATCCTGCAGGTATTGTTTAGATTGATTTGATGCAGGATTGGACACTATCTTTTATTGCTTTCTCTACATCATGAGCAAACCAGTCTTGTCTTATTGTAACTTTTTGGTACTAAACTGCCTTGTGCTTAGAGGCAGCTACCTAATACATATAGAATCCCTGTTAAAAGTTTATTGAGCACTGAGAATTTCATATTTCAGATCTCTAATTGGAACTTTTTTGTACTGAACTGCCTTATGCTTTAGTTACTATATCATTCATTGTTGCTTGTAGGTCGGTGATCCTCTTGAGAAGGCTGCACTTAAGGGAATAGAATGGAGTTATAAATCTGATGAGAAGACTATGCCGAAAAAGTAAGCAGCAACATTAGTTGTCACTATTTAATTAGTACTCAATTGTTGTTTGTCTTGGTCTTTACATGATATAAATTGTTCCAATCTTTAATCTCTCTTACACCCTCGATTTGTTCTAACTAATGTTATTTATCACTTTTCTTATTGTAGTTAGATATCTTCAATGTTGTACTTATAAAAAGAAAATGATGAGGGAAAAAATATGCTAATGGACAATATGAAAGGCTAAATTTTATCTTTACTTGTGAAACAAATCTGAATCAAAGGCCGGCTGCCCTCATTAATGCAACGGAAAATATATTTCCAGTTCATTTGCACAGATACAGACTCGAACACATATGTATAAGTGCTCCAGCAGTGCTTTGGGCCCTAAATGTGTTGAAATCTGATGCTCCTCCACTCTTACTCCCTCTACTGCTCCTGCTCTTGCTATGTGAATCAGCCACCTAAGCAAGGAGCACCATTTTGTTTCTTTTCCATTGAAATGGTCAAAATGTTTACGTTTCTTAGGAAATCAAAACGAAACATGAATGAATACTGAAATTCCATTGTTTCCACCGAAACATACCAAATGCACCAAAACACATGGGATAAGTGTGAATATTTACTTGTTGCTCGCTTGATCGATAATAACTCCAGTTCCCCTCTGTTTGTTGTCTTGCATATTTAGGTTACATGGACTAGAAACAGTGACATTATAGTTACTTGTGCAGTCTATAATTCATTGTTTAATGAATAATTGTTTCCATCTCTTGCTCATCTTTCACTTCATTGGTTTTTGTAGAAGGCTATTATGTTACGTTTTTCCCAATCCTAATTTTATTTTCAACAATTTCAGGGGAGGTGGCAATGTTGTACAGATTGTGCAGAGACACCACTTCGCATCTCACTTGAAACGGATGGCAGTTGTTGTTCGTGCTTTATAGAATTTCTTGCTTTTGTGAAGGTTATCTGGTTGCCCGTTTTATTTTCCTACTTACTTTCAGATTTTGAGTTGATGCACAAAAGTATAATTAATAAATAGACGTACTACATTTTAATAAACAATATATGACTTGAAATTTTGAGAAAATGTTGTAATGGTTTATATAAATAGACACCACTACATTTTCTTCTTCTATATAAATAGACACCACAGCTACGTAGCTATAAATAGACACCACTACAATGTATACATTTGTTTTTTTGTTGATAATTAACGTTGTAACATACGAAACTACACACACTCCAATTAATGTGCTTAACATGGTGCATTTGGAGGGTGTAAAATTGTGTCATATTGAAGACCTACAAATGGATATACATGGATTGAAAGTGATGCACTTTGCACCTTTCGTTTTGGCTCTTCTGGAAGTCCTGTGATTCCTCTCTTAATTTTATTGATTTTAGAAGAGCTTAGTTATTACTTTAAGTTTTGCTTCGTAGACGTCTTGACCAAGTTATGCTGCTATTGCTTGTGTGTATGGCCTATCTGCTGCTATCTTGAGGCTTAAATCATGAGGCATTACTGATCTTAATGATGGCTGACTCTGTGGCTGCATAGGTCTGCTCTGTTGCCTATTGAACAGAGTTGCTATGTTGCTGATTGCTGATATGTTCAAATACAGTCTTGGTTTCTGCTGTGTTGTAATAATTGGTCAGATATGTTTACGCTATTCTTGGCATTAGGACTGAGATGCAGGTAAATCTGTCACCAATATTTGACAGATTTAGTTTCTGTTGTGTCTTTAAATTTGACATCCTTGAGATGAGCTGAAAATTCAATATATTTGTTTCTCCTCTCTTTTGACCCTTCCACCTGGTTATGTTTGCTAGCAGAGGCATATATTATTGCTTGTCCTTGAGCCATTCAATTATCTCTTCTAGTTCTCAATTATTAGACTAACCAGATTCTAATTGAACCATTATTTTTTTCCTTTTCCCCAGAGTTGCAAGACATTCTCCCTGGAATTATTAACCAATTGGGTATGTGCAGTTGTGTTTCTTATAATATCATTTTCTTTTATGTTAAATGGATCTGTTTATTCTTAACATTGAAAAGATTCTCCTGATGTGTTTACTCACTGGATTTCCTTCTTTCAAGGCCCGATAACTTGGACAACTTGAGGAAGCTGGCAAAGCAGTTCCAGAAGCAGGCACCTGGTGCCGGTGCTGGTGCCAGTGCAACTGCTGCGCAAGAAGATGACGACGACCAGGTTCCGGACCTTGTGGCTGGTGAGACCTTTGAAGCAGCTGCAGAGGAGAGAAACTTAATTTTATTGAGACCTCGTGGCTCTTAGTTATTACAAGGAAGGATTAAATATTTAGGTTCCACAAGGGAGGATTAAATATTTTTGGATGGATGTGTATGGATAACAAATATTAGTAGTTTTATTTGTTGATAGCTGCGCATGGATAACAAATAGTTATGTTTCAAATTGTTATGCTAGATGGATGTGACTTGTGAATGAAAACTTAGAATAGTTGTATTGTGTCGAATGTTAATGAATTATGTATTGTGTCGAATGTTAATGATTCGATTAATTTGAATGATGCTTTAAAAGTATAGGTTTATTATGGATTGAATGAATTATTAGGAATTACAGGTTGAGGCTTACATAGTTATTTATAATAAACTAAACCTAATACTTGTAGGAAAAGTAGTTCTAAAATAAACTAGGAAACCTAAATTAATACAAATTAAGAAACCTAAGAGAATAGGAAATTAGAATTCTAAACTATTTAAAATCACAGTCAAAATCTAATTTCAAAATAATAAAATTAAGAAACCTAATAATTCCAAAATATTTATACTAAATTACAAGAATCCTAATAATATATCAAAAATATTAAAACTAAAAAATATAAAAAATTTTAAAATC